TCTCCGTGGCCCAAAAAATGTAACTGAATTGAATACCTTTTTATTATAATTTATTCTTCTTCGCCATGGATTTTATTATTTTTCTTGTGAAGCACTTTGTAACTTTGTTTAGATAAGTGCTATACAAATACAGTTATTATTATTATTATTATGCACAGTTGCCTTCACTGAACTGACATTCTAAGTGCAGGAAACCCAAAGGGCAGCTGTATTTGAAAATAAAAGAATCTATTTGTCTTTTTACATCTGTATGTGGATTTGGAGGTTATGGTGCCATTTAACCTCACTAATGAGTCAGACTTTATTGTCTTAACTAATTCCATCGTGTGTTATTGCTCTATAGATCAGATATTAACTTTAAGAGCAACCGTTGGGTTGTGCAGTTTTGAAAGGTCCGACAACTGTTTGCAAATAAAGACAATATAAAAGTTGCTCACACAGCCATGTGGTCTGAAGCTGCAAATATACCTCTTACTACATTTATTAATGGATTACAAATATCAATATCTCTAAAACCTAAGTATAAGTACCATAAGTAAAGCCATTAGGTACAACTGATCAACCATTATAGCTGTGGTTTGAATGTTTTGTCCTTGCATGTATAACCACAAAACATGAATTATCTGTCCGAGGGGAATGACTGCAGCAACACCAGCACTTTTTGTTATGTTGATAATGAGCTTTTAAGTCAAAGTAAAACATAGAACAGTCATTGTCTTATTTGTGAACCACGCTAGAAAACGACTAAACTAAAATTCATATACAGTGATACAGTGAAGAGCAGAATGATGTTGTGGCTGAGGATGCATTTAGAAACTGTTTGACCTAATTAACAGCACTGACACTGTCACTGTTGCTTCACAGCAGGAGAGTGATTAGTTAGAACCAGAGTCTCAGCTTGTTCTGTCTGTGTCTGCGGGGATCCAGACCTTATGTTCTCTTTGTCTATATCAATGTTTTCAGTCAAATACATTAACACTCTATTGTCATTTTGCTCCATTGTGCATGAGAGGGAGCTGTTTCACTGCTGCAATGACATAAGTTATGAAAGTTTTACTTTTTTAAAATGTGATNGCACCGTTGGGAAAATATAAAGTTGTGACTTTCAGTCGTGGAAGAATTCCTGCTTTATAGTGTGCAGGGTAAAAAAAACAGATTCAGCGTGGCCTGATTTAGTTTGATTATGATAAACATCACTGTGACTGACCATGATCCAGTGGGGAAAATCTGACAATCTTGTATTTCTCTTAATAAAAAAGGTTTTACGTTTCAGATTTTCACTTTAAGTTCTACGTAAAACCAGAAACAAATATAAGTATCAAAGATGGCCCTTGTCCAGAATATGTAATTTTGGAGTGCTTTCTTCACACATTATGAAATCCTAAATAATAAGATAATCATTCGTTTTTTCATGAAAACATTTATCTGTAACTGTAAGAAAAGTGGGCTATAATATAATTTTTTAAATGATAGCGTGGCCTGTAATGTTAGTGTTAGTTACAATCACTGTCAGGTTTATGCACCAAAATAACGACCTGACATTGTTTCAGAGGGAAAGAGGCTCAACGATGGAGGCAAAACACTACAACTAATAATCAAAATGTGGGTGAACAATATCACTTGCTGTTCTCGGAGTTTAAATAGAACTATAATAACAGGCTTCGGGAGTTGTAAGGAAAATTTGTTGCAGTGCGATTTTCTGCTCCGTTCAACTCATTATTAAATTGTCCAGAAAAAGTCTGAAGCTAATAAGACTCCTCGTCTTATTAGCTTCCACTGCGAGCGAACTGTGACACAATATTCTTACTGTATTCTCTCCTTTATTTAGACAGCAGATGCGTATGTAGATTTGGCAAAGCTAGTTTCTTCTTTTACGTATTTCAAGCATCATATAATTACACGGTAGTTAGGATGTCATCATGAAGACAAGTCTCCGAGCTGAACCTGAGCTGTGGACCCACCTCCTGACACCTGCAAACATCTATCCTCCAACACTTTCCTTTTAGAGGTGTGTTGCATACACAAGAGTTAGTAGACCATCAGAGAGCAGACGCACGCCAATCAACTGAAATCATAACTATAAATCCAAGTTACTAACTGCAACACTGCTAAGAATCACATTGATAATGGCCTGAGGGACAATTTATGTGAGGGGGAAGAAAATAACAGACAGAGACCCAGAGGGAAAGCAGATTAGTGGCTCCTCTGGACTAAGAAATGACACAGTGAGTGTGGACAGATGAGCACAGGACATTGTTATATACCTCTGTGACCATGTCATGGGAGGGATTCACAGTGTGTGTCAGGAACCAGCGGGTTCACTGTTACTTTATTAACCGTTAAAGCTCTGGAAGGAAGAAGCTACAGAGCAGAACACATGCAGACTTCCAACCCTGGAATAAGAACATTGTATTTCCAGGCGTTAATTTCTCATATCTATATATATATATATGGTATCTATGTATACTGTCCGATACTGCATCTTGAATATTGACTGCAAGATTTTATATCTGTCCTGACAGAAAACCTTGATACCACTTCATAATTAGGCATTACAAATAATTCATATTTATAGATCAGCCACAACATAAAAACCAGTAAGTGGCTTTTCTCTTGTTGCTCTATGTGTGTGTGTGTGGGAATGCAACAATCTGTTGATGATAATAGCATTGAGCATTGGTCACGACTCCTGCAGATGTCAGGTGAATTCAATGATCATTTTCAAACAACACACGTCAGGAGCCTGAAATGTAGCCTGGAGGAAAGAGCTGTGGAAAAGTGAGCACTGAGAAATCAGATAAACCAGTATCCTTGGACAACAAGAGGAGGACAGGGATTATTTAATCCCATACTGATTAGTTTCAGTCAGTGAGTTATTACATTTTTTATTTGACTTGCTTCTGAATCATTTTACATCTGCCACTAAAAGAAATACCAATTAACAGTGA